GGTTGGATCCCTCCCCTCGTGAATAGTATCCCTAATAGGGTAAAGCAGACTCTACCCTAGGAAAACTATCATGGATGCATGAGGTATTGGCTCACTAATGCATCTAGACTCGATAGGTTTTAAGTCCCCGAGCCTTCAGACTTAGAAACCGAAGGTCATCAATCCCAAGGTTCTTTGTCGGTGGCTCAAGCGATTCCCCAAACACCGCTACGCACACATCGTGTCACGGCTACGTGTTTGATTGAATCTATCAAAAAATCCTCAACCTTCGACTAAAAGCTAAAGGCTATCAACCCAAAGCTTAAAATGGAAGCTTGAGTGACCCCTCGGATCATGTCGCGCACACATCGTGTCGCGATCACACGTCCAAGTGGGTCGCCTAATCCTAGTAGGGTGGAGTGGCGTGACAAGCCCCTAAAAGAAAAATAAATGAGGGAATAAAAATAAAGCGTATGCACGTATGCTAGTACTCCGTTTGGAGGGGAGGGATCGAGAACCAACGCAAGACTCTAGGGTAATATCCCCCCACCCAAATGCAATGCAAAACACGGGATAACATAAATAAACCATTCATCCATCAAATCAATCGTACGCAAATAGGTGAGGGAGTGAGTTGATATGCGCGCAATGCAAAAAATCCTAAAAAAGAGAAAATGCAACCCTAAACATCCAAATGCAATACATGAAAAGGGTAAAAAAAAGGAAAAGAATAACTAAATCAAGTGCTCGAACCCACTTAGGAAGTCCCCAGTGGAGTCGCCAAGCTGTCGCACCCCATTTTTAATAAAATAAAAGTATAATAAGTGAGTGAAGTATGGTTTGAAATGGTGATGTGTGTGAAAATGAAAGGAAAGGCCATGGGACTTTGAAATGCGACGTTTTGGCCAAAAATAGTAATCTAAAAAGGTTTCGGTAAAATGTAGGAGTCGTCACTTGGTATTGAGTTAGGGTGTACCAAGTCACCCAAAAAATGTGGATTTAAATGTAAAACCTTTTTGGATTGACTCCAAAATCTACGATAAATCAGAGAAAAAATGGTTCGGGGGTCTTAGTTGAAGAGAGGGAAGGCAAAGACAATGTCTAAGGCACCCTCTCAATCTAGCCTAAGCTAGTTGCATGATTTAGTCATGATTTTCCTAATTTCTAACCAAAAGATGTATCGCATTTGGATGTAACTAATATGAATGCAATCCTAAACCTAATGAGGAATCGAAAGGGACCAATATCTCTTAGAGGCTCGATCGGACTAAATCACATGAGTTGTGATAGCTAAGGATAAGCCCTCCAAGAGGTCACGAGTAAAGCTAATGACGAAAAAATGAATGGAATGAATGTATGCAATGTGAAAACATGAGCTTGTGTGAAGTGAAAAAAGTAATAATAAAAATAATAGTGTGTAAGTGGGAGTGTGCAAATGGGGGTGCAAGGAGAGGTATGTAAAGTAATAGTGTGAAGTGCATGTGTGCTCAGTGGTAGTATGTAAAGTGCTAGTGGTAGAGTGAGAATGTATAAGATAAGAGTCATGTGGAAAAAGTAATAGTATATGAAGTTAAAGTGTAAAGTGATTGTGAGTAAATGAAATGCATGAACCCTAGAGGAATGCAAGCAAGACGGGTACGGGGATACCCTAAATCATGACTTTTGCTTTTCTTTTTGGTTAGAAAAAGAATGAGCGTGCTAAGGCTATGTGTAGCCAAAACTTGTCCATCCCCCTTACCAAAAGAGTAACTTCCTAACCTAATCAGGCAAATGACCCTAATACTTGAATGAAATGTAAAATCCTAAGATTGTGTTTCAAATGCGGAAAAAGGGGTAGAGGTTCATGTAAAATGCTAAAAAGAAAAATGAATGAAATGTAGTGCAAGCATGCAAGTATGTACTAGCGAGGGACGACCCTATTGGGTCTAGCATTGGACTAGCCCTTTGCTAACGCACTCTCACAAGCGTTGGACTTGTGAGCGATCGGGAATAAGTAACCATGACTAGCATTGGACTAGCCACGGTTGTATCGTACATTTGCATTCACCATATATACACGAGTAAATGGGCATAGTTAAAGCAAGTAGGCATGTGAGCACGTAATTCACATAACACGTAAGCATGCATATCTAGATGTAAAAACCTAAGAAAGCGGTAACACATAGCACATAGTCATGCAAATCACACAAGTAAGAAATAAACCAAATAAAGACCCTAACTATTACATTTGAGGGGGGCCTACTACAATCTAAAGGGGGAAATGAAAATAAGTGATTAAAATAAACCTAACTATTACAATTGTGGCATTCAAGTGTCTTTCAAATAATTACAAATTAAATGAATTAACTAAATTAAAACAAATAAAGTAACTAAATAGAATAAGTAAAAATAAAATAAAATATCCAAAAGAGCAAGCACTTAATCACGTAAAACCACATAATTACACATAGGAAGTCAAACAAGTAAAAATAAGGGATAGAGTGTACCTCCCTTGAATTGGGGCCCTGATGAAGCGAAATTACTTATTTACCCACCACTTTAATTAATGAATAATCACACGAAATGGAAATGAACACGAAATTGAATCACTCAAAACATTCCAAGGAAAGTAAACTACTCATATTTAACCAATTAAGACAAACAAGGACCCAATTGAAACAATTAAAGAAGTTAAAGGGACCAATTTGATTGATTTTTCCAATTTTCTGAGCCATATCGGCATGAGGGAAAGTTGAGAGGTTCAAACACAACAAAAAAAAAGACCTAAGAAAAATCAAATCATTCGGGCTGTGATGAAACTACTCATGATTCAGGGGACTAAATTACAGAAAAGTAATGTCCAGGGGTCAATTTATGTTTAAATCATGCCCTAATTGAACAAGATCTGGAAGTTATACAGGCTTAAATGTGATTTCACCAAAGGACAGGGGTCAATTTGCAAATTTCCAGATTTTTGCAAACAAATGGTTCCCTGAAGCTTTCTTCTTCAACGTGACTGAAGAAAAGCTTCTGCAACCTCTGATTCGGCCATTTTGCCCTAACCTTCAACTATCATGTTTTAACGAGCATTGAACTGGCCGAATGTTATGCAAAAACAGAAATCGATTCATCCTTGAAACTGAAGTCTCGGTTGGACATTTCATCGAGCAACAAACAGACATTAAAAAATTTCACCAAATTTTGCTCAATTGAAGTTATAATCAGCCCAAAAATTGCGCAGAAAATCAAGATTTCAGTCCAATTTAGCACGTAAGGCGCACATGTTCTAAAATCCATGAACGATCAACATGAAAATGGAAATAACGAAATCACAGAAAACTCATTTTCAAACACTGGATAGAAAACTAAAATTTTTAGAGAAAAAACTTACAGTGCTCTGACGATGAAATCCGCGGGCGATGATGGTGGGTTCCGGTGGTGGCAATGGCGGCTCCGGTCGCGGCCTTTCCCTTCTTGCTTCTGGCCCGAAGCTCTTCTGAATGGCGGCCTGCTCCTCCTCCCTTTTGTTTTCTGTCCGCCGTTGCCCTTCCCCGTTTTTTTTCTTGCCTTTTTCGCTCTTTCCTTTTCTTTTTAGCCGAAAACCTCCCCCTTTTCTCCAAGCTCTCCGTCCCCTCTTTTTACTCTTGCTCTGTTTCTTCTTTTTCCCCGTAGCTTTCCTCACTCCGCCGCCCCTCTGTTTCTCCTTTTTTTCTCCTGACCGAAGCTGCCTTCCTCCCATTCCCTTCTCTTCTTTTTTATTTCCCAATTGATCCTAACACTACAAGTGTCTAGACACCTCACCATCTAGGTGATGTATTGTCCAAGACAAAAAGGGACACTTGTCCCCAATCACATACACTCCACTTGTCTCACATGCAACCTTCCACCAATTTTTGTCATTGTCATTTTTTCAAAAATCACTTTAAATAAATAAATAATATAAACAAATTTAAAAATAACAAATTAAACTTTAAAAAATGGCCATTATTTTTTTGCCTCTTTTTCCAAATTGAATTTAAAAGAATTGAAACAAATTTTTCTGAAGATTTTCACACTTTTTTTCTTAATGCAAAAGATACCTTAAAAAATCAAATAAAAAATAAATACAAATATTGAATGTTAAAAAAAATAAAAATTTGGTGTCTACAATAAAAAACTTGTTTGACGTTCAGGCCCGGTAGGGGGTGTAACAGTGGACGAAAATTTGGTGAAAAGTGGGGTTCTACGGACTTGATACTCGCTCGGTTGACGGAGTGTCAACACTTGAAATTTTGGATCAAGACCTTGGCAAAAGCAGTGTCGAGTTAGCTCCTGAGAGTTTTCGTATCCTTTAATGATTGTGTCTTGTTTTCTTTTGTGAATTTCAAGAATATTATGACTGCCTTTCGTTTATAAGTTTAATACTTGTTGTACTTGCTTGCTTGCCTATTTTTTTTTTACCTCACTAATCATTAACTCACCCCCGTAGTTTGTTTTCCTTAACAGGAAGTGGAAGTGGAAAGATTTTGGAGAAGCTGGCTTGATTATATTTTGATCCAAATTTGGATGTAAATGATTTAGTCAACTTTAGGTAGTTGTATTTTTTTGGGAAATTTGATGTACCTTTTGGAAACATTGTGATATAAGAATTGAATGACAATTTGAAAGAAGCGACTTTCTTTATATTGGTTTTCCTATTGATTGATTAGATTTAAATTTAAATTTGACTTGTATCGAGTCCTAGCGAGAGTTAGGCAGGCGGCCCGCCGAAACCCTAGAGTTCGCCCTAAGGAGAAGTGGGGTGGTCACAGGTGATATTAGAGCCTAGGTTTGGATTAGTGGACAATTAAGAGTCTTGATCCTGTGGCAGGTGACCTGCCAAAACCCTAGGATTCGCCCTAAGGAGAAGTGTGGTCGTCACAGGTGGTATCAGAGCCTAGGTTTGAATTAGTGGACAATTAGAAGTCTTGATCTTGTGAGAAATATGTGAGATAGTACGAAATGATTAGACCTAGTTTATCTAATATACTTGTATCTATCTAAGCTTCTAATTTTAATTATAGGTCATGGAAGGAAATGGTGATAATGAGCCGTCACAGAGGCGCCTTCCGGTGGTCCGTTATCGAGAGGGGCCTGGGGGTGCTCTTTGGAGTTGGAACCCAATTCGTCGAACTAAGCCTCCCTGTGACTGTCGGCGGACTTACTCTGTAAGGATTGAAGACAACCTAAGTGGAGGGGGGTGAATTAGCTTATCTAAAAACTAGCCAAGATATGAGCACTTTTTCTAGAACTTGCTTTCTTTTTCTAAAGGACCTCACAAAGAAACAATTAGTGGACTAGCACAAGTGATTGTGAGTAGAAGAAATAAGCAATATATATTGTAAGACAGTAAGTAAAGGGATAGAATGGTAGACCAAGTTTCAAACTTGACTTAAATTTGAATATCACTTTATATACCAAGTTTTTTCAAGTTGATCAACTTACAACCAATCTCTTGTGTACAAAGGAAGGATCACTTCCTCTTTGCCTCAAGTCTCACTCGATCAAGTAAGGAAGTTTTACAATCACTCGGATAACCCTCACAAAGCTACACTATTGAAGAAACTGAATCACACTTGAAAAGCAAAATGAAGATTACACAGTTAAGAGTACAAATCTTCTTTTTGGAGTATTTTTACACTTGAATCACTCAAGATCTGATGTAGGCTTAATGTGTAAAAACTTATTTGAAGTAGTTGACTATTTTCTATTTATAGGAGACCAAAAAATTCTTCAATTAATGCTGTCAACAGATAGAAGACAGCTGAAGAGTCAACTAGCCGTTGGTGGTGTCGGACGTCCGGTACTCTGATTTTCTGCGTCCGAACGAAGACAGTGAGTTCAAGACATTTTCTTGAGATTCTTAGGACGTCCGGTCCTTCCACAATATACGTCCGAAGGCCAAATGAAAACTTGCAAATCCTTCTTCATTTCTTTCGGACATCCGGTACTCTCAGTGTATTGCGTCCGAAGTACCGCAATGTTTGTCGGTCGTCCGGTACTGAGGTATTGTGTGTCCGATTGAGGTCAGTGATCATAGAAGACTTGGCTTATTATCTTCGGACGTCTGAGTGTGAGTTCTCCATGCGTCCGAAGTTACTCAATGGTTGTCGGCCGTCCGATATGGTCCTTTTGTGCGTCCGACAACTATTTCAGCAATTTGTCAATCTTTGATCCTGTTTTGGCTTCAAGCCTTTGACCTTGTTTTTGTTCCAATTCCTGAAACAATCTCTTCAAAGAATATTAGTAACATCCAATTGTTTTGTAATCATCAAAAGTTATGGACTGAGATATACAATCTCCCCCTTTTTGGTGATGACAAAACATTGGATGGAGCAAAAAGAAATTTAGAATTTTGATTGCAGCTCCCTCTTGCATAATGCGAGAGTATACGCAACTCCCCCTCAAACCGACTCCCCCTTACTTATAGATTCCATGTCAAGAATATTCGCAACTCCCTCTCACTTATAAGTTCCATATCCATTTTCTCCCCCTTTTTGTCATCATAAAACAGCCATATGATCAATAGTTGTACCAAACAGATTTGTCAACATTCAATAGGAATTATCAATCAGACGAAAGATATCCAACAATATCAGCAACAGTATCAGCATCCATCCAGAATCAGCAAAATCCAAACAGGCAGTAATCAGCAAAAGCCAACCAGAATCATTCACAGCAAAGGATAAAGACATTCATTCATAGAAGAAACATCATAAAAAAAACACCAGTTAACAGAATAGTACCAGTTTTACAGACCAATAGAGGAATATGATCCTTAATACATAGCATACTAAAGGTTTTTCAATGCAAAAGATGAACTATTGTCCTAATGATGAAGTACAGTATCCTAGCAGTGCCTAAATGATGATTTTAGACGATCCAGGCCTTCTCTTGGTTAGACGAAACAGCTCAGGATCCATTTGGTCTTCTTCCTCAGTCTGTTCATCATCTTCTTCAGTTGCCTCCTCAGTTACTGGAGCCTTGCCTTTATTTTTGGGCTGAGAGCTGGAAGCATGTGCTTCTGGAGTGGCTTCAGTACCAGGAGTATGCTCTGTGGGCTGAGGTCTTGGCTCTTTTTGATGAGCGTTTTCATTGAATTTTGGGATTGGAGGGACAAGGATATTCCTTTTTTCAATAAAAATAGACTGCTGGGCAGGGGACATGGTCATCATGAGACCATCTTCAATGAGTAGAACATGCTGTTTGAGGTCCTCAAGCAAGAAGATGACCTCAGAATTGGAAGAGAGTGACTTGCTGGCTGATTTTCTAGGGTGGATGGTGAATGGAGAGACATACATGGACTGATCACGAGGAGTCCTAGGAGAGACAGGGGTTTCGTGAAGGTTCTTTCTCCTAATCTCTATAACTGTCTCCTTATAACACCAATGGCCCTCAAAAAATTTTAGATTCTTTCTTTCAAAATATGCTTGTGAGAAAGCTGTTGAGGCACTGTCTTTGGGTGATTTTCCAGTAAAAGATATTTTAAAATGGACAAAGATAGGAGTCAGAAATTTTCCATAAGAGAGCTTCCTACGACTATCAGTGCTAATCTTGAGCAGAAATTTGCACATCACAAACCCAAAGTCAATTCTGATTTTTTCAACAAAACAGTAAGATAGATAAACCTCAATTTTGTTTGCATCAGTTCTGTGGCCATCAGTGGACACCAACAGATTTGAAATGATGGTGAAAGTGATTAAGTTCTGAGGGTTAAGATCTTCTAATCTTGCCTCAGTAGGAGTGTTGAAGTGCGATTGAAAATAGGTCATGAGTTTAGCAACGTAAAAATGATGATAAGCGGAAGGATATTTCTCATATGAAAAGAAATTTGTAACTTTTCCTTTAAAACCATCTTCAATACTTGTTTTCGGAATAGAGTTCACAATGTCAGGAGTTAATGTGATGTCTACAGAGTTGACCCTAGATATGAGTTCTGTGTGTGAATTACCCTTTCTAAGATTTGCAAAGAATTGATGAAGCATATCAGGGTAAAAAGTATTGGAGATGGACAGAAGATGAACCCATTTTTGGAACTCAAAAAAGTTTAATGATAGGTTCGAGGTCAAGCTTACGAAATTCAAAAGGAGAAATGGTTCTTTGAAGAATGAACCCCTTTTGTGAGACCAACTCAAATCTGTCTCTGGCCTCATCATTAATGAATTTTGGCAGAGGAGTAGGTTCTTTGGCAGGCTGAGTCTCTGGTTCCTTTGCAGAACGTTTCCTTTTTGCAATTTGCTTGGCAGACGACTCAATATTCTGAACCTTAGGCCTTGTCCTTGGAGATTTTCTGGTAGATGGTTCAGGGGTGTGCTGATCCTCAACATTTTTCTCTGCATTAGATTGAGTAGTGCTTCTATTTTGGGCAGATCTTTTTCTTCTCCCAAGTGATTTCGTGACAGTTACTTCAGCATGGGTGGGCTCTTCCATTTCTTCTGCATTCCTACTTTTGGATTTTCTTCAGAGTGATGCTCTTCCATCTGCTCATCAGATGGCTCAACAGTTGGAGCATCTCGTTTCCTTTGAGCAGTTTGCTTCACCTTTCCACCTCGATTTGCAGTTTTCTTTTTGGATGCTTTGGTGGAGGGTTCCACAATTTCAATATCCTCATCCCTAAGTCTAAAAGAGTGTCCGACCCCCGCAGAACCACCTCTAAATCTAACCATGATGTAATGTAGTTGGATGTTGATGTAGGGAGTGGTGCAGAGTGTATGAGATAGATGAAAAATGCAATATGAACTAATGTTGATGCACGAACCAACCACAAGGAGTAGGTTTTGAGAGCTTAGGGCTTCGGATGCGAATTGGGAATTATGAGGCAGTTGGCAGTTAGAAGAGGTTATTATGTCTAGATAACGGGCAATAGGAGTGTAATGGTGTCGATTGAATCAATTTCTTGGAACTTGATTAGAGGAGAGAGTAATTTGAATTTTGAATTTTGAGAGAAAACTGAAGGGTTGCGTCCGAGACTAAGAAAGTAAATGAACTTAATGAGGTAGGTGACTTCCTTATATGAAGCAATTTTTGAGTGTTGGACGGCCGAACGAAGTGACGCATCCGACGCAACCGTCCGAACCTGAATTTTTCTGGAAAAGGGATGAAGAACACTGTCGGACGTCCATTCAAATCCATCGGACGTCCGATAAAGAGTGACCAAAGAGAAACTTAGAGAATTTTTTCTGAAACACCCAATTTTGTTCTCAGATACACAAATTGATCCAGTGGAAGGGCTTTGGTGAGGATATCAGCAATTTGATCTTTAGAACAAACATATTGAACACAAATTTCACCCTTGTGGTCAAGATCGCGAATGAAGTGATACTTAATGTCTATGTGCTTGGTCCTAGAATGTTGAATGGGATTTTTTGTCAAATTGATGGCACTAGTGTTGTCACAAAACATAGGCACACAATTATACACTAAGCCAAAATCATTCAATGTGTTTTTCATCCACAACAATTGAGCACAGCAAGCACCAGTAGCAACATATTCTGCTTCGGTTGTAGAAATGAAATAGCATTCTGTTTCTTGCTGAACCAGGATACTAAGCAATTTCCAAGGAAGTTACATATACCAGTTGTACTTTTTCTATCTACTCTACAGCCACCAAAATCAGCATCAGAGAATCCACACAAGGGAAGTTCATGACACTTAGGATACCAAAGGCCAAAATTCAAAGTTCCTTTTAAATATCTAAAGATTCTTTTTACCGCATTTAAATGTGATTCCTTTGGACAAGACTGAAAACGAGCACACAAGCACACAACAAACTTGATATCAGGCCTACTAGCTGTTAAGTAAAGCAAGCTACCAATCATACCTCTATATTTCTTTTCATCAACTTTTGTACCTTCTTCATCTTTGTCAAGCTTGGTAGATGTGCACATGGGTGTTCCAATTTGCTTTGAATCCTTCATTCCAAATCTTTTTAGCAGTTCCTTGATGTATTTGGTTTGATTGATGAATGTTCCATCTTGGATTTGTGTCACTTGGAGTTCAAGGAAGAAATTTAATTCTCCCATCATGCTCATTTCAAACTCTTTTTGCATGATTTTGGAAAAGTCCTTGCACAAGCTCTCATTAGTAGCACCAAATATAATATCAATCACATATATTTGTACAATTAGAAGATCACATGAACTTTGTTTAGTGAAAAGAGTAGTATCCACTATACCTCTTTTGAAGCCATTTTTAATAAAAAAAA